TATTATTATTACTATTATTATCATTATTATTATACGAAACTGAAGAGCAATATCAAGAACAGCAACACAAACAGGATCAACAGTAACAACCAGCGCAACAAAAACAAGAGTAACTTTATTGAACAATATTTTAAATTCGTAACCGTTTTTTTTTTTACAATGTCGGCTTAGTTTAAAGAAAGCGACAGGCTGTCTGACTACGTCATAAGAACAGAGCTTAATTTAGAAGAGGGAGATTTGGCACAAACTTCTGTCTTCGGTTCTTTCCTCCTTTGTTAGCGTCAGCCGTGATATACTATAGATCGGTGGCACACAAATGTAATAAGGCTTGGATTTTTAGACCCTATGGCAAAAGCCGAGACAGGGTAGGCCTGGTGCCTGAATGGAGGCGACCCGTGAAAACAATACTAGCCCGGTACCAGCGCGACCACAGTTGAATACAACTTTTCTTTTCAGCGAAGATCGAGGAGTGTGGCATTTACACTCACACACCCGCGGGTACTTTTTTATTTTCTTAAAACGAACTCAATTCCTTTTCGAGAACCTTTCAAACACTCTCGAAAAAGAAATCGTAATCGGACTAATAACGCCTTCGTCACAGCCATCAAAGCAAACATCATTATTCCTTTCCACTCAAGTGTGCCAAATGCAACTCTTGAGTAAATGACTCTGGGTTTTTATTTCATCTCTACGAGGATGGAGGTGGGCAGGGGGAGTAGTTTACGTGAAAAGGAAGGAGTTTCTTAAGACGATCGCTCGAGGTACAAGAAGCCTTTTCTCATAGCGGCCAAGCTGTGCAGTTTTGCTGACAGTGTGGCGTGCCGCCGGGAGCAGGTCGGGGTCATGGCTGATTACACAGGGGGGCGGGGCCGGGGCTGCACGCGACAACTTGACCCCGCGGCCGGGGGCACGCCCACTTATTAGTGACTGCAAATCTCCAAGCTCTTTTGTCAGTACTGAAAAGCAGTATTTTTTGTACTCTCGGTTTCTAAGTGGCTCTAGGGGCTGAGCTATTCTGTGTATCTCTCTCACACCACGCTACGACCAGAACACCCTAACCAGATAATAACACACATGTCCTTTGCCTCTATCCCTCCTGCATGAATCTTGCACAAATATTTTGAAAATAAAACTAGACAAAACGACCCGTTTTTACTTTAAAAAAAGCAACCCAAATTAACCCCCCCCCCCTTTACATGTAGATCTATACACCTTACACATTTTAAATATAAAAGCACAGACACTAAATGGTTCTAACAGAATATCTGAGAAGTTAAAACAAGGATTGTATTAAAGTAAGATAAACAAACACCCAAACTTTGATATCCTGACCGAAACCACAACCCCTACGTGCACGATCAAACACAAAGACAAGAAAAAAAACCCCCAGTAATGAAAAGTACAACAACAAAACAAAATAGCCCCCTTCCCCCCTAAAAAAAAAGAAAACAAACAGACAAACAAACAAACAAACAAAATAACAAAAACACCTCACCCCAAAATACACCCCCAACAAACAAACAAACAAACAACAACAGCAACAACAACAATAACAACAACAATGTACAGCAATAATAACAAGTAATGAGCAACAGATTAAGACGAAAATCAAAGGCAAAGAATAAAATTTTAAAAAACGAAAGAGCAAAAAAAGGCTGGTTATCATCATGCAATCGTCAGAAGCAACGTGTCTAGCTGTTACGCATCAACCTACAGGCAGCAAAGCTGTAACACATTCACTTCCGGCCTAGCACTCTCAACTTTGATAAACAAAACACCATAGACGCTATACCCTCTATTTATAATGATTTGGTTGCTTTCTTCAGCTATTTGGTGCGACAGAATGTTTGAACATTTCAGTAGCTTAAAGGTTTTGCGAGTATTTTTCTCTCAGATATGAAGAATAATAATTTTGTGTTATGCAAATTCTTTGGAAATGTAGAAAGAAGCAACAAATACAGGTAAATAAATAAACACACAAACACAAACAGAGAAAATGAACTGAGAACAAAACAAATTTAGATGAAATAAAAGAGCAAGTTGATAAGAAAATGAATACATTGCACCTTCAATGCTACTTTGCTACTTTTTCTTTTCTTACATAAGTCCCGTGCGTATGTTCTCATTAAAATTTGAAAAAATCTATACATTCACTCTGCTCACACTCTTCCTCAAATATCTCTCTCTATCTCTCTCTCTCTCTCTCTCTCTCTTTCTCTCTCTCTCTCTCTC